TTGTCCTCCAAGTTTGGTTGTAATTTCATTTAGCCAAGATGTCTTGCTTTTTGCTTTACTCGTTTGGCATAAATGGTATTCGCTTGGTTTTCTCTTGGTAAGATTTAAAATACATTAAGCTGTTTCTTGAAGAGTGCAGTTTTTTGTTGATATTATTATTATTATTACTATTATTTTCTTTGATTTCTGGCGTTTACACATTTTTTCCGGGTCCCGCCCAGCGATCTAAGGTTAGAAATGGCATCATGACACTTTCCACTGAAAAAAAAAAAAAATAAAATAAATAAAAAAAATTTAAAAAAATTACATGGATAAAGCCCTTCGTAAATGTGGGCTGTGCTTGTCAGAACAATTTTTGTATCTCCTTGAGGCATGGACTTCCAGGAATCTCTTCAATTAGTCTACTGCAATCTTTTCCAACCAGTCCTAGGGCTCCAACTACAACAGGGATTGTTGATGTTCCCATATGCCACATTTTCGAGATTTCCATTTCAAGGTCCTTGTATTTTGACAGCTTTTTGAATATCTTCAAAGATACATTGCACTCAGCAGGGACTGCCATATCAATAAGGAGGCACTTTTTTTGTTTGTGGTCTTTAATAACAATATCTGGGCGGTTGGCCTTGATTGTTCTGTCAGTGTGTATTGTGTAGTCCCATAGAATTGTAACAGGTCCTATCTCCGTAACCGGGTCTGGGTGGTGTTCATACCAGTTTCTTTCAGTTTCTTTCCCGTAGAAGTTACATTTTTTCCAGTGCAGATATTGGCCCACTCTGTCATGCCGGTTTTTATATTCAGTGGGTGCCAATATCGTGCAACCTGATACAAGATGATCAATCGTTTCTGGATATTTATCACAGAATCTGCATTTTTAATTTCTGGTGTTTACACATTTGTTTACGGGTCCTAACCAGAGACCTAAGTTAAGCAATTGCACCATGACAGTTTTCACTGAGATTTTTGTGAACACATCCCCCAACCAAAAAAGTCCCCTAAAATCACACGCATTTAACATAGATAAAACCCTTCGTAAGGTGTGAGTTCTACTTGTGAGTACAACAATTTATATCTTTTGAAGACATGGTTTACCAGGAATCCCTTCAATTAGTCTATCGGAACCTTTTCCAATTAAACTGATGGTTCCAACTTTTTGTAACCTAGGAAGAGTTACTGAAGGAGGAATAACCAAAACGGAGGTTGGAAATGGAAATGGTAATCTTTATAACACCAACAAAATACAATACTCGCCAGCGGCGTGAAGTAGGTAAACCACTGCAAGTTGGGGACTACATAGACAGCATATTACAATATTTACCTGCCTCCCCACGAAGTAGGATGCGGCACAAGCCCAAACTTAATGTAGGGAAATCCGAGCCCGTGCTCTCGGGCAAAAATTGCCCGTAGGCCACGCATACGCGGGATTGGGTATCTGTCAACCTCTCCAAATGAACCCCCGGGTTTCTCTCTGCTCAAAGACAGAGAATTCGACACAGCAAGAGCTTCCCACACTGACACCTCACGCTGCCAGCTTAGGCAACATACTGCCCCCACTTGCCATAGTATTTACCAACGTATTTATGAGGTTGGGACACACCCATTATTGTTCATAGGTATGATATATAACACAACTACAACTGAAATTATTGACGTCCTTATGAGCTACATTTTTGAGATTTCGAACTCAAGTTATCTTGATAATTTTTAAGATCTTCAAAGATATGTTACAGTCTGTAAGGATTGTCATGTAAATAAGAAAGCACATTCCGATTTTTTGGTCTCTGATTCCGATGCCATTGATTATTCTGTCTGTGTGTATTATAAAGTCCCATAACATTGTTAAAGGTCCTATGTCTGTAACTGGGTTTGGGTGGTGTTCATACCAATTTCATGGAGTTTTTTTCAATGCAGGTATTGGCCTAGTATGTCATGCCGGGTTTTATATTCAGAAGGTTCCAGTACCGTGCAACCTGATACAAGATGGTCAATTGTTTCTGGATATTTATCATAGAATCTGTATTTGGGGCTAACAAAATTTTTCTGTGTGTGGGCTTGGTAATTTCTAGCTAGCAAGAATTGGCACTGTACAGCAAGAATAAAACCTCCTCCTCCTCCTACTTTTTCTTCTTCTTTAATAATAATAATAATAATAATAATAATAATAATAATTATTATTATTATTATTATTATTATTCCTTTCTCAAATTTTTTCCATTTTCAAAAAAAGATCTTGCTTTATGGGTGTTCTGCAACTTCTGATAGAAATGTTCGCAAAATATTTGCAGTGACAGAGTAACACAAACTTCTGAAGTGATGAGATACTAGGCTTTATTTCGATTTTCCCAATGTAGGACATTAAGTATGGTACTATAAACCCACTACGCCCTAATGGTAACATGAATATAATTGAACTGAAGATACGATATTCTGGTAAATTCAGTCCAGAAGTCGGTGTATTCGTTAAGATTGTCAATTCCTTTGATCTTGATATAATAGTAACCCCAGGACAGTAACAACAATGCATTTCTTTTCTTATAATAGAAAAAAAGAAAAGAAAAGTTAAACGGACGGTGATGTCTAATTCGTCGGCCTCATGGACGCAGTCTCTTTCGTTGTTGAAATCCTACAAGATCTTGACTTGCTGGTTTTTGATCACCTTCTCTGGCAGGTGGGGCCCAGTTTAAAATGCCTTCGGGCCACCCACTCTACTAAGACTGTCTCCGACTGAAAGTGTCCTCGAGTATTTAGATGTTCACCCAGAGTACCTTGTCTGCTTACTCTTTCAAAGAGTGTGCGTGTGCTTGTGTGCGTGTGCGATTCTTAGGATTGTCGTTATCTATGGATTTTTCTCTTTTTCTTATTTTTCTGTGGATGTTGTAGGCTTTGCGTTTGGGGTTATAGAGAAAATAATCCTGGTACTAGAGGAATTTGACAGTATTTTCCATGTATTATTCTTGTCCGAGAAACAAATTTCATAGAAAACACTATCAAAATCCTCCATTAATATAATTAATTTCTGTATAAAGCTAAACGCAAAACCTACAAATTGAATATAAAATATATCCAGGACGTAGGTGACGATGTCTCTCCACATATAACATTCATTTATTATCTGTGAATTGCAATGGTTTCTTCAGAAAAATAATGGAATGGTTTGTTCATTGCTTTTTCCACAGTCTGGGATTCAGAGAATTCCAACTGGAATAGATTTAATACCAACATTCCAGCCAAGTCTACTGTGCGATTTAATCCAGAGAAAAATAATGGATTTATGCCTTTCATAGGGAATAATGGATTTATGCCTTTCATAGGGACCTTAGTGTGAAAGGGTGAGATTTGCAATTAATATCTTTAGACAGTAAGGCAGATACACTTTATGGATTTCAGAAACGATGAAGATGAAAGAAGAAAGAAAACTTCACACAATAATAATGTAGAAGAATAATATATAAGCTGGACAAATAAATAAACAATTATGTTACAGAAAAATGAATAGAATAAAATGAAAAAGAGATGGCTAAAAACAAACGATAAAGACTGAGACTATAGAATCATGACGACATATATGTTATGTATTTTGAGGGCGTAAGCGATCATGGCTCTTCTCGATTGCTTTTCCATTCATATCTGTGAGTTACTCTTATTTCTTGTGAAAGATAGCAGTGCGGTGTCACGCTTCTATCTCCATCGTTTTGAATTCAGGGTAGTTGGGTTGGGGGACAGATTGGTTCATGCCTTTCCCAAGGACAGTAAAACCAAAATAGGTTGATTAAAATCTTTAACAGGGCATATTCCCTGCATGTGATGCAAATTGATTAGTAAATAGGCAAAACGTTTCGTAATAGGTTCAGTGGCAAAGAGTCTGGGTCGGAAGCAGATGCCAGTTGCAGAGCTGCCAGACCCTGTGTGCAGACTACCACTTGTTGGAATGCGGAACTAAACTTCTGCTTTCTTTTTCTCCTTTCGTCTCATTTAGTCATTCATTTTATTTTATTTTCGCCTTTATTTGTAATCAAATCCAATCAAATATATCCACACCTTCCTTCGAATCTAATGTGTTGCTGTCTGGCTGATTTTCTTCTCAACTCTCCACCTCATTTTTGTTGATTTTCAATGTTATTTTCACCATATCTTTTTCATCCGCCATCTTTATGTTTATCTCATTTCCTTTTCTCTCGGTATATAACATTTTCTTTTTTCTTTTTTTCTTTCTTTCTTTCTTTCTTTCTTTCTTTCTTTTTCTTTCTTTCTTTCTTAATATGTTCATCTCTCTCACTCAATATATTTATCTCTCTAGATACCTATCTCGCTATCTATTTCTCTGTCTATCTCGGTATGTTAATATCTATCTATCTATCTATCTATCTATCTATCTATCTATCTATCTATGCGTTTATATTTCTATCTCTCTCTCTCTCTTAATCTCTTTAGCTACCTATTTCTATGTCTCCGTATGTTTCATATCCCCTCTCCGTCTATCTATCTATCTATCTATCTATCTATCTATCTATCTATCTATCTATCTATCAGTGTGTTCATATCTCCCTCTTTCTCTCTTCTTAATCTCTTTAGCTACCCTATTTCTCTGTCTCCGTATGTTCATATCCCTCTCCGTCTATCTATCTATCTATCTATCTATCTATCTATCTATCTATCAGTGTGTTCATATCTCCCTCTTTCTCTCTCTCTCTTAATCTCTTTAGCTACCTATTTCTCTGTCTCCGTATGTTCATATCCCTCTCCGTCTATCTATCTATCTATCTATCTATCTATCTATCTATCTATCTATCAGTGCGTTCATATTTCCCTCTTTCTCTCTCTCTCTCTTAATCTCTTTAGCTACCTATTTCTCTGTCTCCGTATGTTCATATCCCTCTCCGTCTATCTATCTATCTATCTATCTATCTATCTATCTATCTATCTATCTATCTATCAGTGTGTTCATATCTCCCTCTTTCTCTCTCTCTCTTAATCTCTTTAGCTACCTATTTCTCTGTCTCCGTATGTTCATATCCCTCTCCGTCTATCTATCTATCTATCTATCTATCTATCTATCTATCAGTGTGTTCATATCTCCCTCTTTCTCTCTCTCTCTTAATCTCTTTAGCTACCTATTTCTCTGTCTCCGTATGTTCATATCCTCTCCGTCTATCTATCTATCTATCTATCTATCTATCTATCTATTCATCAGTGTGTTCATATCTCCTCTTTCTCTCTCTCTCTTAATCTCTTGCTACCATTTCTCTGTCTCCGTATGTTCATATCCCTCTCCGTCTATCTATCTATCTATCTATCTATCTATCTATCTATCTATCAGTGTGTTCATATCTCCCTCTTTCTCTCTCTCTCTTAATCTCTTTAGCTACCTATTTCTCTGTCTCCGTATGTTCATATCCCTCTCCGTCTATCTATCTATCTATCTATCTATCTATCTATCTATCAGTGTGTTCATATCTCCTCTTTCTCTCTCTCTCTCTTAATCTCTTTAGCTACCTATTTCTCTGTCTCCGTATGTTCATATCCCTCTCCGTCTATCTATCTATCTATCTATCTATCTATCTATCTATCTATCAGTGTGTTCATATCTCCCTCTTTCTCTCTCTCTCTCTTAATCTCTTTAGCTACCTATTTCTCTGTCTCCGTATGTTCATATCCCCTCCGTCTATCTATCTATCTATCTATCTATCTATCTATCTATCTATCTATCTATCAGTGCGTTCATATTTCCTCTTTCTCTCTCTCTCTTAATCTCTTTAGCTACCTATTTCTCTGTCTCCGTATGTTCATATCCCTCTCCGTCTATCTATCTATCTATCTATCTATCTATCTATCTATCTATCTATCTATCATCTATCTATCTATCAGTGCGTTCATATTTCCCTCTTTTCTCTCTCTCTCTCTTAATCTCTTTAGCTACCTATTTCTCTGTCTCCGTATGTTCATATCCTCTCCGTCTATCTATCTATCTATCTATCTATCTATCTATCAGTGCGTTCATATTTCCTCTTTCTCTCTCTCTCTCTTAATCTCTTTTTACCTATTTCTCTGTCTCCGTATGTTCATATCCTCTCCGTCTATCTATCTATCTATCTATCTATCTTACTTTTTACCCTATCTGTTCTCACAAAGTTCCTTCTGCTGTATTTCAGACTTCCTCTCTTATTTTATCATTTTATTATCTAAATTCTTCCCCTCTCTCTCTCTCTCTCTCTCTCAGTTATTTTGCCCTTTTCTTCCCCACTCTTTCCTTCTTTATGTTGGACTAGTTTTCTTCCTTTCACTTTCCCAATCTCACGTCTTCATGACCCACGCTTCTTTTTTTTTTTTAATATTAGTTTCTTCTCTTAACATTATGCCCATGTTTTCTTTTTATTTAAATTACTTTTTCAACTCTCTTTGGAGTTATTTTCGTTTCAGTTTGGGGCCAGCACTGCGAAACAGTGAAGGCGGAGGTGGGACATTTCGTCTATGGCGCCGGCGGCAGGTCTATCCGTAAGATGGCGCCATAGTATACTCTTGGGTCTTATCTCCATCTGCACCTTGGACAAGCCATCTTGATGGAGACGTGACACCGTTATAGGCGTCCCAGAATCGCCATCCTTGTTAGATTTTTATCTATTTCTATATTTAATGTTCTATGCGCATTATAGTCATTTTTACTATTATTATTATTATTATTATTGTTGTTGTTGTTGTTGTTGTTAATGCCTTTTGAAGGCGATTTGTGCCATTGGGAATGGTGTTCAAAAGGACTTTTCGAAATTGTTATTTATCGTTTTCATTTTTTTTTTTTTTTTTATCCTTCCATACATATTCGGTTCTATTCCTGTTTTCATTCCCCAGCAAAATGTGCCTACTGTCCGGGTAATCTAGAAAAAAAAAATTGGCCAATATCAGTGACTCGATGAATAACTTCGACATTTTACGTCATAAGAAAAACTGATAACAAGTTTTCCGTGACTTTTTTTCTTTCTGAAAATCGCCTTCTCTTTTTCCTTCTGCATTACAAGCACCGGCATTGCCAGAATCACACAAGCCACGACGATGAAGACCACAATAAAAAAAAAAAAAATCAAATATTTTCTTCTTCTTGTTGATCACCGAAGACTTCTGTTCGTTCTCGAAGTCTTTACATATATTATTGCTTACCTTCTCTCATTTTATCTAATATATATATATATATATATATATATATATATATATATATATATATATATATATATATATATTTTGGACAATAAGAAATAAAAAAATTAAAATCATTAGACACACTGGGTTGTAGATTAATATTCTTCCGTTTTTTTATTCCATTTAGATTCCTCGACTAGTTTCGACCGAAATGGCCATCATCATCGGCAGAGAAATATTTCTGCTTGCTGTTGGCTATATATATATATATATATATATATATATATATATATATATATATATATATATATATATATATATAAAAAAAGAGGTTATGGTTGTTCCAACGAGAGAAGAGTGTGTATATTAAAGAGAAAGAGATGCCGCAAACGTTTATGGTTGTAATGTGGAATTTAATAAAAAATATTATGCTTTATGTTCTATAGTTTTACTACCCGGGTTTCTGATCTCGCGACCGTCTTCAGGTAAAAGGCGGAGATTTCCACATATTATTAAAAATAATTAATTTTTCCTTTATGTTTTTCGATGTTAAATATTCTCGATATGAGACATTCTGTGTTTTTGTGTTAGTAATCCGAATGTCTTTCTTGAATATATATATATATATATATATATATATATATATATATATATATATGATATATATACCATATATATATATATATATATATATATATATATATATATATATATATATATATATATATATATATATATATATATATATATATATATATATATATAATATATATATATATATATATATATATATATATATATATATATATATATATATATATATATATATATGAACATACTGATAGAGAGATATACCGTTTGTAACAGCAAAATTGTCCAAATCCCTAAATTATTAGATTAAGCTTTAAAAGCATTGTATCTTAGAAACGATTAAATCTATCTTACTGGAATTCTCCAATGTTTTTATAACAATATTGGACTCTACTTAGAACAAGAAGAATGTATTTAGATCTAAGTTTAAATGATGATCCCTCTTGATATTGTGACCTCCTGATCCAGGTTGTCTTTCTACTTTTATCTCTTTTCAAAACTTATTCACCGTTATCTTGATGGTTCTGGAAGGACTTTGAAGTTGGAAGCCAGAGTATGAATGTTGGTATCATTTTTTCCTCTCACCATTGCTCAATGGGGAATGACATAGTGGGGCTGGCACAAAACGATTTTAACCTGTTGTCTTTCTAGTTGAATATCGCAAAGGAGTTTTATGCCATTCTTATGACAAATGGTGTCAAGATAGCGGCTAAACGTCTAAACACTTGGACAGGAAAAACTTAATCAGTTTAGTGGTATTTAAATATTAAACATTTTGTGGGATTCACGATTTCGACAAATTTGATGTTACAACGTATATATATATATATATATATATATATATATATATATATATATATGTGTGTGTGTGTGTGTGTGTGTGTGTGTGTGTGTGTGTGTGTGTGTAAGTGATTAGCCAATCACGTAATTGAGCACTTTTTTAATATAACTGTTTCCTGGTTTAATAAAACTCTGACCAAGACAGTTTTATAATAATAATAATAATAATAATAATAATAATAATAATATATATATATATATATATATATTTATATGTGTGTGTGCGTGTTGTTGTGTGTGCGGGAGGTGTGTGCGTGTTATAAATTTGTCTATATAATTCCAATGACATTTGAAATATACATATATATATTTTCGAAAACACATTCTTTCATGAACTTTTCCTTGTTATTATATTATATATATATATATATATATATATATATATATATACAGAAATACCTCAATTAATGCGCAAAATATATACACCAAGATACACCGTATACACCAAAATTCGGTAAGTGCATACATTATACTCGATTATTGCAGTAAAACAGGCTTCAAATCACCCATAGTAATTCAAAATTGTTTTTTTAAGTTACCGATTCATTAAAAATGTTCTAAAATTTAAACGTGTATAATGGGTAATTATTGGTTCGTCATTTTTTTTATATTAGATTAATGTGTTTTCGATTATTGCGTACCCTTTAATATACACATTAGTCACACTAATCGAGGGATTTTTATCTATCTCTCTGTCTCTCTCTCTATATATATATTCATGCAAATATGCAATCCTCAGGTGCAGGATACTAGTGGCACTAACGACGAAGGATATTATGTATATTCACTAATATATACAGTGTAACCCGGATATAAGAGAGTTGTCGGGACCGGAGAAGAAGTCTCTTATATCCGGGTTTCTCTTATATCCGGGTTTGGTCTATTTTGTTTAGGTAAGTATGGGAACACTTTGGGACCAGAGAAAATCTCTCTTATATCCGGGTTTCTCTTATATCTGGGTCTCTTATATCCGGGTTACACTGTACTTAATAGCTCTGTCTCATAACATTAACCACTATTTTTATAACGACCGAGAAAAAATATATGTACCTCAAGTATATGTGCGTATACGTATATTTTTTTTATCATACCTATATATATATATATATATGTGAAAAGTGAATATAAATATATATATATGTATAATTATTTATGACGATCGCTATAGCGTGAAACCCAGGGTCACAAACTCACATCTATCCAACCAAATATATATATATATATATATATATATATATATATATATATATATATATTCTCCTATTAGAATGGACCGTGAATTTGAAAACTTCAGGGAGATTTTCCTCAGTAACGGCTATCCGGAGGCCCTTATTGACTATATTATTAGTAAGAAGACTAAGGAATTTCATTCCCCTAAAGTCCAGGGGCCTTCTAAATGTCAGGTGTATTTGAAGATTCCCTGAATTGGGGATAGGGGTCAAGGCTTAATTAAGCAGGTTAGCAAGTTGGTTTCCGGTTGTTTCCCATCAGTTGCTTTTACGTAGCATTTTTCGAACTAGGTCTGTGTTTCCGTCTTTTTCGCAAGGATGTATTGCCCTACATCAAATTGAGTAATTTAGTATATGAGTTTAATTGCCAGTGTGCTGCTGGTTATGTGGGGCGTACAACCTTGCATTTGGAAACTAGAATCAATCAGCATGTACCTTCCAAAATATGACTTGGTAAGATAGATAGAATATACTATCTTCCCCTCATGAATATGGAATCGGCTATTGCTCAACATTTAGTTGAGAATATAGCCTGAGCCAAGTCGTTTAAAAAAGAGTGGTTTAAAATCATTCATACGGCTGATTCCAACAATCATTTAAAGATTTTGGAATCGGTCTGCATAGGATTAAGGAAACCTTCTCTCTGCCGGCAGAAAGAATTTGTAAAGTCTCTTAATCTGTTGGGGGATATTTTATTTTAACTGTCCCTCGCTAATTTATTTACACGATTATTTCCCCTCCCCTCGTTACAAATATATACACTTGTTTTTTGTTTTTTTTAGTGTGTTTCCCCCCTCTTTTTGCTCTTCATTGTCGTTAATATTCTTTTCGTTGATCCAACGATTGTCTCCTGATGAGATGTTGGTTGAAAGGGCCTTAGGGACTTTTACAATTAAAATCAATTCATTCCTTGTTTTTAAAACTATATATAAATTGTGTACCTCTAAACATTTGTATATATATATATATATATATATATATATATATATATATATATATATATGTATTTGAAGGTTTTGGCCGCTGCAGTAGGTGTATAATAGTTTATTTGCACTTCTTCACCCACTTGAAATAATAATAATAATAATAATAATAATGATAATAATTATTATTATTATTATTCGTAGTATAGTCTTATCAGATTGGATGTCATGATTAGGCTTCGTACATTTGTAACCCAACGACAAGCATGTGATCTGATTTCTATTTTCAGGTGGGCTGAATTTAAACTTAAACTGCTCCAATTGAACGCAAAAATTCCCACTAATGAAAGACCCGGTCAATGACGGGTTATACCGCTAGTATTTATATATTTTATATTTTATTTTTATAACATATATTCAATCCTTTATTTTTTTTTTATTTTCAATCAGTCAATTTATTGTCCATGATTTTCTCTTATTTCTTTTTAAATATGAATATATATATACATGTATGTTTATCTGTGTGTGTGTGTACATATTTGTATATTTTTTATTATATATATATATATATATATATATATATATATATATATATATATATATATATATATATATAAAACAAAGTCAGGGCCTCCACTTCCTGTTATTATTCTTGCTTTCTTAAAAAACAAACTAAAAAAAACATGTTTGTCGGATATATTTAAATTTATACAATTTATATCTTCGGTCTGATGAGACTTACACTGATATATATATATATATATATATATATATATATATA